CAGCTTTCAAAGGTTCATGACAGCAATAAGAATTGAGTCCCAGAACCCATCTTAATTCCAGGTATAACACATATTTCCAGTGTATGTACACACTACAGACACAGTAATTCATTCACCAGAAGAGAACTGGGTAATAAGAAACAACATAGTAAGGCAGAAAGAAGATAACTCGAATAAGGCAATTTAATCCTAACTGAAAACTATCGAAATTGAAGAAAATAACTAGATAAACATCAGATTATCAGTTAACTGGTGGAAGAAATCAAATTTACCAGCTGAAACAAATAAATTTACCTGCTGAAAAGAGATAACATCAGACCCGATCCTCATGGCCTCACCCTGGTTACATTTTATCAATTTGGATACATTTGAGATAGAAATTCCACCAGGCAGAGCTACATCATAACACCCAACTTCATCGAACTCAATCAAAGGTGAATCCTTTGCATCTCCACTACAATTTTTCAACCTTAAATCAAGAGCTAGATCATATCCACTCCCAATTGACCCAATTGCAATCTCAGCTGCCTTCTGAGCTGGAACCTTGAGTGCCATTGCTCAGTATATCACTTTTCTTCACCAAACAAAACTCCCACTCCAAACTTGACAAATAGATTTGGATGGTCACACTACCTCAAATTAACCCAAAACTGCATGTTTTTCACAAACATAATTGAGGCACAAAATTAGTCAAAATATAAACTTATTCCAAATAATTGATGTACAAGGAAAAGAACCCATATGCCATATTTCCAAATTCTTGAACTCCAACATCACCTATCTGGGTTTGGGTGGATTAAGGAATATCTCAACCAGCTTAACTACAATGAAAATCTTATAACTGTAACCATTGACCAAGGGGGGTGGACTTTGCTCCGATGAACCAAAAGTCTCTGGTGCATGAACATGGATGTGTATGTATATGTGTTCCACATGCATGCATCCATGCATAAAACACCAAGAACATAACATACATCCCCACAAACCTATCAAATGTTGTCAAATGAAACTAACCAATCTTTCTGCTACTTTTACAAATGAAGCAGATGGTTCTAGCTACTAATCTTCATTTCATCTTAACAAACCAAAATTTAACAAGCAGATAAACTCCTTAACATGGTATAAATATTGTCAAACTAATCAATGGAAACTCATCATTACCAACTATCTTGGTCCATGCACCAGCTCCTAACATAGATCCAAATGATAATCCAGAATAAGGAAACTTCAAAAAGAGAGATAGATTTGGAAGATACAACACTTACGTACCTGTGTGCAGCTGTCTGAAAATCCAGAATGTCTGCAAAGAATGCAATTAAATGTCTTCAGACAAAAATATAAAAGGAAAAAATAATTGTTCATGAGTTTGACTCTTCTTCATAGGTAGTTTAGTTTTGTAGATTTCTTGTTTTTCCGGCTCAACGCAATCAAGTTTCCATCCAACTTCCAGGCTTAGGACTCCATTTTTTAAAGTGAGAATTTCCACATTCGTGGGGCCAAGGTGTACAGATTGACTCTTTTAGGCCTTACCCAGAAAAAGCTCTTCTTGACCTTACTACCTTACTACTTTTTTTGCTCTAGAAAGTAATACCAAAAAGAACTGCTGAACACGTGGGTAATTGCCCATGACTTTATCTAACTTGGGTTAACAACAGTTTCATTGATTCTAAGCATCGTGTCCAAGCTTTTCTGCAGTTAACAACAACAATGAGAATACCTTATATCATCTGACTCGATTAAATAGATTTAAAGCATTTTATAATCCAGATATCCAAACTAATCCAAAGTCGACCACTTGGGTCATGAGGCCAGCGACGAAGCCTTTTTGACCAAAGACCAGAGATGAGTGGAGCTGGAGCATTCCAAGGTACAGCCTTTTAGTCAACACAAATTATATGGTAAAACAAACAGATCTAAGCCTTTTGTTTATGCATGTGACTGTACGTCTAATTTTGATTCTTCTTTATTCTGATGCAATGGGAACACTGTGCTGCCGCACATTACCAATTTACCAAGCATATCTCTACCCTGAGTTGCAGCAACTGTTAAAAATGTAAGGGCTTTTCTTAGATTTTCATTCTCTTTATTTATCTGTATCCATATCTCCGAATCTACCTTCAACAAATGTACTGTCTGATCCACAAACCTGTGTCTGGTGTTTTCCAACCTTGTATTCATTTGATTATTTTTGACCCCACTTTGGAAATCCACAGTTTATATACTGTCCCCCATTGACAGCCTCTAGCTCCTAGCTCAACCTGTCAAACATTAGCAATCCCTATAACCCCCACCTACCATTCCTAGTGCCACTGCCATTAGCCCAAAAAGGAAAAGAAAAGAGGGAAAAAACAATGAATGGGTATTCCAAGATGAAAGCTGTTGGCAATGGAAGTTCAAGATCCATGGACTCTTCGGATCTTATGCCACTGCCTCAAACCCCAAAACCCATTTCTAGTATCACCCCAAACCACACGGAGAAGAACCAAGAAATCAACCAGGTGGTCATCAATAACTCAAACCCCATCACCACCCAACAAGATTCATCACAGCAGGAAGATGAGCAAGAAGGCAATAATGGGGAGATGTTCGGTCCCACTCTGAGAAGAAACAGTTCGGTGTCTTCTGCTTATGCACTCCAAGCTGCTGTGAAGAGAGCATTCTCCATGAGAAGATCTTCTTCTGTCTCCGAAAGGTACTGCAGGATCCACGACCAGTCTGTGACTTTAGCTTCACCCTTTGATGATGAAGACTTGGACACAACTGGGACAAGAAGATCCGTGAAGAAGAAGACCAGCAGAGGCAAGATCCTTAAAGCATGGAAGAAACTTTTTGGACTGTAGTGTCTTTTATCTCTACTATATTTTACTTGGTTCTTTGAATCTGCTTTTCTCTTTGTCTTACAGAGAATCAGCCATCCAGAAGCTCTGCTGTCTTGTTAAACTCCTCCATTGTTGGATGCTTTTATCTTTTCGTTGTATCTCCTCAATTCCATTAGAAGGCTAAAATCTTCCTTTATTGCCATGTTTCCATGATAAATTAAACTTGGTATTAGTATTTTTCAAGAAAAAAGAAAAGCGAAAAAGATTAAAATTTTGCAATATCTTTAATTCAAGGATTAATTTTACTTTTACTAGATTTGACTAATCTCATAATAGGATCCTGAATATGTTATGATTACTTGTCTAGAAATCTTAATTAATCATTTTGTTGTCAAACTTGACAACCTTTGGTCATGAAGCATTACTCAAAGAAACAATTATTGCCATAATGATATGGCTTGGCTTGTCCCTTTTCACATTAAGCCATTATTTGCTGGCTATACTGTTGGAATTATAGATGCAAAGAACCATATTAATCTTAAGAATGGCAACGGGTAAAGAATTGGTTAATTTTTTAAAGTATTTATATTTGAATTTAATTATAAAATTTAATATTTGTATTTTGTTTATACTTAATTTACAATATTTTTATTAAAATTCGAACTCCTTTATTTAATTAAAAATCATGTGAGCACTCGTTATAAAACCCCTAATTCAACTTGAATTTAATAATAAAAATAAAAAATTTAATCATTTTTATGTATGTTATTAATCAAAATTAAATTAATAAAATTTATATTTAAATAATTTATAAATTAAAATAAATAATTTATCAGTTATAAGTAATAGATACATTGAAAAATAATCTAAATATCAAAAATTCATTATTCTAAATTGTACTAAGTAAAAAATATTTTAAAATTATTATATTATATTTTACCTGAATTTATTTATAAAATATCTTAATTTTACTTAAAACAGATCGAACAGACAACCTTTTACATACTACTTATTAGTGTCCTAATTAGATGAAGGTCAATCCAACCAGTTGGCATTGCGGGCCGAATTTTAGAACCACAAAATCCAAAATTATATTATAAAAAGTCCAAAATGTCATGCCAATGTCCCTTTTGTAGGTATTAATCTCTTCAACATAGGATACTAGTATTATAGGTATTAATCTCTTCTATGTCCTTTTTTTTTTCCTTTTGGTCTAGTGGTAAAAATTTTATCAAATTCCAATTATGTAGTACACAATTAATACTAATATTATAATATATGATTTATCATTAATTAATTAATTAAGTACACATTAATTTCAATTCGATTTGATCTTTTATATGAAATTATGAATTTTATGTGTGTTTAACACATACTTTCTTAATAAAAAATTTCCAACGATCAACTCAATTGTAAATATATGTATCAAATTGTTCAATGACTAATGACAAAGATCGAAGAAATTTTTGAGAGATGAAAATAATTATTTTTATTTGTTATATTTTTAATTTTTTAAAAATATATTATTATTTATTATTCATTATCAAAATTTATCTCATTTTTAATACATAATAATTCTAATTGTGTCGAATGACTTACCATTAAAAAAATTTACTAAAATAAATATTAATAAATTATCCAATTTTTAAATAAATTTTTTAATAGTAATAACGTTAAATAATTTATAAATTAATATTATAAAAATTTTAATTATATATATAACTGAAATATAAATTATTTTTCAATCATAATTATCTTTTTATTTATAAACAATTTTTATAAATTGATTTCCCTTTCATTTATAATTGAATGAATGTCGTCTTTTTTTTTATTGCACACAAAATTACGAAGAAAATCATGTACTACTGTAAAATTATATACACCAGAATAAATCCCAAATATTCCCGGCAGAAAGAGAAAGATAACCTTTTTTGATTGGCGAGTGACGTGCCAGCGCACAGCGTCCTCTTCCCCACACGAGGATTACGTCTAAAGAATGCCACGTCACCGATGTGATTTAGGCTGGGACCCAACAAGATGCCAAAACCGACTCTCAGAATGTGCCACTCAAGCACTGGTGGGGCCTGGCGGATTCTGTTCTCTGATGACACGTGTCTTTGAGGATAAAAAAAAAGGAGGGAAACCAGCCTTGAAAAACGTCGGGAAAGGAGGGAAGAGATCGGGAGGGTGTTGCCTAGCTTCTCAGGTAACTTAGAGAGACGAACAGAAATTCAAATTCTGCTGAGAAATAACGAAAATTAATCAAATTTTAATTAAAATTTTATCAAAGGAAACAGAAAATCTATGGTTAGTATAAATTTTCCAAAATTTTTCTTTTTTTTTGCTATTTTTGGTTTATCGGTTCAATTTTTAAACAAACGTAGATTAGGATATGAATTCATTTATTTTTCAGAAATATTTGCTTAAACAGATTTCTTGTTTCTGGAAATGTAAACAAGGTTCTGTTAATATTCGCCGTTTAAATTTATTTTTCTATTTAATATTATCCAATTAAATTGTTCAATAGATTGCGAAGGAAGCCATAGCTAAGTGACTCGGTGCCTCGAAGCGGTCTCGGAGTTGAATCGGTGAACGGTGAGCTTGTAAAAGATGTTGTGGAATTATGAGTCGATAAGCTTTCATCTCAATTTTAAATCGACTTTGTTTTCGATTAATTGGAAACATTTGTTTATTTATTTCTTTATCAAATTTGATCTCTTGTTTATGTTGTTTCTATCCTTAACGAGAATCATTTTTATTTTAATTTTAAATAAATTGATTTTCATTACGAATCGCAGATTGTGGGAGGAAAAACACTACCACACACAACTCCAGCGTTTTTGGGACGAGATTGAGCGGGAAACAGAGCTAAACCCGGCGAAATAGGCGAGTTCAAAATGACGGCGAGCGAAACCACCGGTGGCGACGAAGGTGTGGCTACATCGCCGAGGAATAAGGTGAAGTTTCTGTGCAGCTATGGCGGGAAAATAGTGGCGAGGTCAGGCGATGCGAACCTCAAGTACGTTGGAGGAGAAACTCGTGTGGTGGCTGTCCCTCCGGATATCAATTTTTCAGGTTTGCCCTCGTTTCTCTTTAATACGAAGCTTTTATACCCAAGGGTAATTTGTCCTTTCCTTTGATTGCTCCCTAGACAGTATTTTTCGTAGGTAAATTCTTTGCTTTTCTGCTACTAGAATTTTTCTTTTTAGATAGGAAACGATGAATTGTTATTAGAATGAAAGTACTAATCAAAAGGAGAAATCAATTTTTGATACATCACAGAATTAATGAAGAAGCTTAACACTCTGGTTGAAGGGGACATGATTCTGAAATACCAGGTCATCCCTGAGGAACTTGATACCTTGGTAACTGTAAGATCCGATGAGGATCTTAGACACCTGGTTGATGAGTTTCATCGTCTTGAAAGTGAAGGGACTCCAAAGCTTCGTGCTTACTTGTTCCCCTCGAGTCCGATTGTGCTCGAGAACCAGATGAACCCTGTTGACCCCCATGCCATTGAGCAGCGGTATATCGACGCCGTCAATGGAATAGTTCGTCCGGGTCCAAACACTAGCGGAAGGCTCACCCCTGTCAATGCAAACCGCCCCAACTTCAGCGTCTCTGCTTGTTCTTCCCCTAATTCGGCTTCTCCTGATGGTAAAGCTATTGATTCTTTGCCTTCAGAGTCACCATTGTTGAGTGGATACCATCGTAATAGACCCTTCATGCCTAAAGTCCAGAGTTCTCCCAGCCTTTGCAGCCTTAGCACACCCCATAACCAAAGCAACAACCATAGCAATCACCAAGCTTACCAGCCTCATTATTACTACCACCAAAATCACCAGCAACTACAGCCATACAGCGTTCAATCTCCAAGACAACCTCAAGATTTTCGGACTGAAAGGCCATCGGGGCCACACGACTTTGGGTGGGGTGCTATCAGGCAACGTCATGGTCCAACAAACCATGTCTACTCATTAGGTCGACACAATTGGGGGTATGGATGCGGCAGTTGTGGTTGCTACGATGAGTGCTTGGTTCATGCAAGTGCAAGGTTTATTAGAGGAAGTAGCGTTCCTGCAAGTGGACGGCTTGAAAAGGCTGATAGTCCCAGGAACCATATTTGGGAGTAAAGCATTGGATCCGATACCATACTGACCATCCGAGTGAAGAACACAAAGATGGATGTATAATTTTTTTTTCTTTTTTACTTTTTGGTTGGATAGGGTGGAATTCCTTCAACCAAAAAGGTATAGATATGGTATAGAAGATTTCATTTTTCTTCATTCTATACATAACTGGTGTTGATTTTCCATTTTCTTTTACCCTCACTTTTGTTTGAATTTTGATTGCCATGAAGTACTATACAAAGTTATGGCTAATATCTGTGAAGAAACTATGTACATATCTACAGAAATGTAAAATCGAAAAGATGACTTCCTATGTTCAATCTTCCTTGAGTTTATATACTCCATTATGTTCTATTACTTTGTACTAAAGAACTCTATGCTGGCATGTGGAATTTTGAGGCAGTTCCATATGAAGTTTGTGCTTGTACAATATGTTGCTATCCTATGGTGGATAAATTAATTTCCCTTTTTCTCTTTGCCTGTGGTGAATTGGGTAGATTTTTCATCGAAAAAGCATGAATGTGTAAAATCTCTGAATATAATCGGTAAATATACACAAACTGGACAGAGGATTATCAGGAAATGTAGTGCTTTCAGGGTGACAAATTTTTGGCCGACGAGTAAGTTTCTTTTGCCTCTCTTCCATAGGTGATTTGAATTAGTATAAGGGCCAGTTTACAGCAGAACATATGTATTTCAATGTTAATCTACGTAGCAAACTGTTTTTGGGGAAGTGCTCTCCATCCAATATCCTGCCGATAGAATCCTTCCGGCCAGTTGATTTCTTCAACTGCTTGGTAAGCTCTATCCCGTGCTTCTTCGAGATCTCTGCCCTTGGCAGTAATCCCAAGAACACGACCCCCAGTAGCTATGAAACTGCCATCCGAATCAAGGGCAGTTCCAGCATGGAATATCTTGACTGAAGAAGCAACGAGCTCTGCTTCTTCCAGGTTCTGAATCACGGTCCCTTTCTCATAGGAGCCAGGGTAACCCTTGCTTGCCATTACTACCACCATGGCAGACCCAGGGGACCAGTTCAGTGAGACCCCTTCTAGCTCTCCTTTACAGGCTGCTAACAGAACTTTTGCAAGATCAGACTCCAAACGAACCATTAGAACCTGTGTAGCAATCCACAATAATACAATTTAAGAATCTTCATCCAGATATGCCCTGACCAACAAAATTGTGCATGTCATACTACATCTAAGTAGAAATGAGCCAATGCTGATAACAGTCTAAAACTAGATTTGCAAAAAGACAGATAATCAAAGAACAATACAGAAGGATCAAAAGCATCCAGTGTCAGAACGGCCAAGTTGTTCATAAGATTCTATAGGGATATATCGTAAACATGATCCGATGGTGACAGATGCCAGGAATCTGATTCACCATGAGGAAATCATTTAGATGTTAGAAATCGATGATATTTATAGCATGCACCACTAACATCAGACTACAGACAACTGACTCAAGGAATCGATCCAAGAAATAATATCATGGCGAATTTAAAACTAAATTATGCACGCAAACCAGCACAGTCAATAACTGACCTGACACTCTGGATCTCCAAACCGCACATTGTACTCGATTAATTTAGGTAAGCCGGACTTCTTCTCAATCATTAGTCCAGCATATAAAACCCCAACGAATTTGCATCCCTCTGCTGACATTCCCTTCACTGTTGGGAGGATAATGGATTCCATGACCAAAGATTGAAGTTCTTTATTTAAGACTGGTGCTGGAGAGTATGCCCCCATCCCACCGGTATTAGGACCTGTATCACCATCTCCAACCCGTTTATGGTCTTGAGCAGATTCTAGCGGTATGGCATTCTCTCCATCAACCAGGGCAAAGAATGATGCTTCTTCTCCTTCAAGAAATTCCTCAACAATGACCTGGCAACCTGCAGAACCAAAAATACCGTCAACAAGCATTGAGTCAACGGCTTCATATGCCTCTTCCAGTGTCATAGCAACAACGACTCCTTTTCCAGCAGCCAGTCCATCTGCTTTGATAACAATAGGTGCTCCTTGCTCTTTAATATATTGCTTTGCAGCCGATGCATCTGAAAATGTTTGATACTGCACCAAAGGTTCAAAGCATTAACATAAGTATTCTAGTAAAGAACAGGATCAACGCAAGCTTAAATCACAGCATTGCGATGCAGTAAGAATGAAGAACATTTGCTCAGCTTTATGAGCCCTTTTCTGTTTCATATAACCCGAGTAAAGGTGATAAATTTATGAAATTCAAACAATAGCAAACAAGTCTCATCATGCAACGAAAACACCAAGCAAAATCAATGCAAAAACATGTTTTTGCAACTAAAAAATTTGGCAACAATCCCTCCAGGAATGAACCTTAGCAGTAGGAATTCCATATTTGTCACATATACTCTTCATGAAGTTCTTAGAACCTTCCAAAGCAGCAGCCTCTGCTGAAGGGCCGAAAGTCGGGATTCCTGCCTCGACCAAATCATTTGCAAGACCCGAAACAAGGGGAGCCTCTGGCCCTACAACGACCAACCCAACACTCCATTTCCGGCAGAAAGAAACCACCACTGAGCTATCGGAAATGTCGAGGTCAGGTATGCAAGTCGCATTCCCCGAACTGGAAATCCCTGCATTGCCTGGTGCACAGAATACGGCATCGCAAGACGGTGACCGCTGCAATGCATAGCAAAGCGCATGTTCTCTTCCCCCTCCACCGATAACTAGCACAACCACCCTCTCTGCAGCAGTAGCAAACAACAAAATTTAGAGGATTTCACTCATTTCAAACCCTATTTCTCTTCTCAACAGTCCCTTTGGGTAGATAATTCAAAAACACACACAACATCACAATCATATAAGGCCAAAAGCTGTAGGTTAATAATATCGAAACCCCATTTGCACAAATTGCTTTATTACATGAAATTCCCACCTTTGTTTTTTTTGGATTACCATAAAGATGAACTGAAAACAACAAAACTAGAGAAAATAAACAAAAGGGTATAGCAAAAATAAATAAATAAATGGAAAAAAAAGGGGGGTTAGAGTAGTTCTTATCTTACCAGAAGTATCCTTACTGCCATGGCCATCAACCGAAACAGAGGGCTCTGATTTCTGGGCAAAGCATCTGAAGGCGGTAGAGGACCATCGTGAGCCGTTTATGTTGTGGCGGCCCGAGCTCTGATGATTGGAGGTGAAACTGAGAGCTGCCAAAGAGAAAGAAGAGTTCCCAAGGAACAAATTTGACGGTAAAAAGGACTTGGAGAATCCGACGAAGCCATTGTTGTTGGTAACGAGCTTCAGTGAAGGAGAGAGATTGATGGTCGTAAAGGCCATGCCTTTTGGTTTCCAAGTTCTGCCAAAGGAAGAGCCGTTAACGGAGTTTTTCTTTTGGTTAGGCTTGACATTAGAAGGAACAAGACATTGTAGGGTTTAAGGTTTTTTTTTTTTTTTCATTTTAATGTTTTGCTCATTTAATATATTTTACCCTCACGGTGGATCAAAGAGAATTTTCAAAATTTTAACATAAAAAATTAAAAATATTTAAAAGATGAAAGAGAAAAATCAAATGTAATAATGGGTTCCCTGGCAAATTTTTGTCAGTAAAACAAACAATAGAAATTACTTATTACCCCATATATATATACATATACAGAGAGAGAGAGAGAGAGGCATACCAAAATTCTAGAAGTGAGTTTGAGATTTGCAGTAGCAAGTACAAACTCAAAAACCAGGAAAAATTTTGTAAGAATCCAGTCGGTTAGCAAGCCTCAATCCCTTACTAGATATAGTTGTCCAAAGCCTGACTAGATATGTGTGCAAACCAAGTGAAAATCTTTCTATGTGCTGCTGTCTGTTTCGCCGTTGCCTGTTTCACTTTCAATCTCTCACTGTTTTCCGAGCCAAGTTTTGGTATTCTATGTTGACCCATAGGGAAAGCAAAAATTCCATCTCCCACTCCCATAGTTTCAAAAGAAAAAGGAGCAGAAAGCAATATTTTCTGGGTCATTTTACAGTTTGGAGTTGCATTAACTGACATCTTGAGTTTAGATTTTTGTACATTAATGATGTCAACACTATTACTCATTTAAAACTCGTCTAAGACAAGATTAATTAATCATGTATCCATATTCGTTTATTATTTATTTATTTAATTATATATATATATGTATATAAGCACATTAATAAGCGATTAAGATTGATTTATTGATATATATATATAAATAGTAATATTTTTATAATAATATTTATTAATATTAAATTTCACAAATATTATGAAATTTATAATTTTTATTATAAATTTAAATAATAAAATTATTATATCATTTTATATAAAATTTAATTCTACATGTTTAATAAATATATTAATTACATTACGTCATATTACACATTTTTTAAATACAAATATATTTAACTAACACATTCGTGTACATATTTAAAATCTTAATATAATTAAATTAATTTTATTTAATTATTTATTTACATGATTGCTAATGCCTTAAATTTATACGACACAATTGCCATGTAGTTACATTACGGTTCTATTATGACTTTGGGAGTAATAAGCAAAGAAAAAGAAAGGAAGGGTAATTTCGATCTCATCGTATGGAAGGGTAAAAAGAAATTGACTGAAGATGGAAAGCTGAGTTACACCTTGGGAAAAAGGTTTTCAGCACAGGGTAAAAAATACATACATTCTCACCATTTTTTAATCTTTTTTTCAACTAAAACCTCCCAAAAGAGGGGGATCAGAAATAAATATACATCAAAAGTTATAGAATTGTCTTTTGTTTTTTGGTTTTTTTTTTTTAAAAAAAAGAAATAAACCACAAAAACAGAGCTTCACCAGCAGCAACCAAAGCCTTGGTTTTCTCCGTTGTCGTTCTAATGAGTAAATCTGTTTTTCAAGCACTCTGTTCTTACTAGAACCATGACTGGGAGACGATCCAAGGGTATTTTTTTTATACATATGTTGATACATATCAAAATGGCGTGGGATGGGCTAGGTAGAAGCAATAAGAAACTTGGAATAGTTTGCTAAGTATGCAGAGCCATGAATAAATTCTGCTTACGAGCATGCTCCGGAATAAGTTTCTTGACGACTTCAGGAGGGATGCCGGAGAGTTCTGCCGATGGAGGGGGAAGAAAAAGGAGTGAGGAAGCGAGAGATTAAGCATACTTCAGCATGTTGCATAGCCATAAATCTTACTACAGTTTGTTTTTGGTTTTTTGCTAAGTTAAACTGACCTTGAGGCTTAAAATTGAAGAGTGGTGGAAGCGGGCGGCCATTGGGGAGGCGAGTGTTCGGGTCCCTCAATTCATCAAAGAAAGGGTGAATGCAAGCCTCTAACTGCAGTAGTATTACCATCACAAGCAGACACGGATATGGAAAATGAGGGAAAAACAAAAAGCTGATTAGGAATGATGCTTTAGCTTTACTACTCATGGGAAGCCAGAAAGGATGAATGGGGGTACTTACAGCAGTGCATCGCAAATTGGGAGAGTACTGAAAGAACCTACAGACAAGGTCTACTGCTTCCGGAGGTAAGCGCTTTTGGAAGACCTGTGTGCAAGAAATTGTATTATGAACTTTAATAGAAACATATTATGATGAGAGCATAAATCATGAGAAAAAAAAAAGGACACACATACCTTATGCCATGGATGTGGCTTTATCTGGGGGAACTTGAATTCAGTGTAGTTTGGGTTCATGCACTTGATCTCCTCCCTTGTTGGAGTCCCCAAAACCTATAGAACAAATTCAAATTACATAGACACATTACTGAACACTTCCTTAGGGAAACTTTGATCGTATATGCTTTGAAACATCGTAGTCAAAAACAGTAGAGACGGGGCAAATAAAATCCTAAAAGTTTTTGGTTCAACTTTTCTGTCTCTATTCATCAGAAGGCAGAACTGGAAATTGGTTATATAATCAAGTGACATTGCAGAAACGCATTCACAACTTTCAGAAAATGTCAATATCTGCAGAGTTTATCAAAGCCTCCCAAGAGTAGTTTAATTTCATTATAAACACAATCATGCATCAAAAGCAAGTGCATTCTAAAAAACATGAGAACTGATAGATGTAATCACCTTAATGATTTCAACCAGTTGGTCGACCCCACTTTCACCAGGAAATAATGGCTGCAAAGTATGCTTGTAAGTTAGAAACAACAATCTATGAAGATAACAGTGCCTTATAACAGTATTCCAATTAAACATAGTTGTCCAAAATCACCTGTCCAAGAAGCAGTTCAGCCATCACACAACCAGTAGACCATATATCTATAGCAGTTGTGTATTCAGTAGCACCAAATATGAGTTCTGGAGCACGATAATATCTCGAGCAGATGTAAGAAACATTTGGTTCTCCCTTCACCTGAATTCATGGAAAGCACCCACACTCAAGTGATGAAACAAGATCTGGCGACAATAATTACTATTGAGTGAACACTTACCAGCACTTTTGCACTCCCGAAATCACAAAGCTTCAGCTGATGTGTATGTGGATTCACCTGGCCATAAACCATAGTATTTGAGTCTCACCAACCAGAGAATGACAATTTGGCTCCAAAATATGAACTTTTTTAACCAGGTTAACATTTTTCCTCTAAAGAAACAAAAAACACGATAAACTAATACATTCTCAAGCTACCCTATTTGTATCAGGGTAGCACCACATAACTACTATGAGGTCACATCTTCAGCAATGATAACAATTAATCACCAATAAATTACAGGGTTTTGTCACTATGGTCAATAGACTTGATCAGTTAGAATAACATACAATACACTTAAATGCAAGGTGTACACTATTACATGAAAAACATGTCTCCTGTAAAAAACCCTTGATTCCTAGAAGAAGAGTCTTACAAGTAAGTTCTGAGGTTTGATGTCGCGGTGACATATACCAATGCAGTTGTGTATATAGGCAAGTGCTCTGCAAATCTGCAAAAGAAGAAAACAATTAGCTCAATTTTTTCAATTCAATTAAAACTTTAAGCATTAAACCAAATTGAAAAAGGAAGTAGAAAAAGAAAAGGAATTGACCAATCTTATGTAAAGGTAACAGTTTAAATTCAACAGTGAAGGATAACTTCTCATTATATTACCATACAAGAAAGCAACAATATCAAAGACAGACAATAAATCACTTGTAAAACAACTCTAGACCATCCAATTACCCAGTAAAAGGTAATTGAAAGAAAAATATATTCCAATTCCATCAATCCATATATCAATCAGTATATTGTTCCACAAAATGTAGATTTACCTGATAGGTATAGAGTTTAACATATATTAAAGGCATTCGCGTGTTGATCCTGCTGTAGGATCTTGCTGTACGATTAACAGTTTCAGGAACATACTCAAGTACGAGATTAAGGTAGAGTTCTTCCTTGTCTGTTTTTGAGAAAAAATAATGCTTAAGGGACACAATATTTGGATGGTCTAGCATTTGCATTATCTGCAACTCTCTATTCTTGTAGCGCTTGTCTTGAAGAACCTTCTTGATGGCAACAATTTCTCCAGTTTCCCGACATTTTGCCTGCAGCAAACAGCCAACTTATCTCAAGATTATAATCTAATTGAACAAAGTCCAGAACAACTTCATGAACAAGAATATTATAGAATTACATACTTGGAAAACAACACCGAAGGAACCAGTTCCAACCACATGCTCAGCAATATAACTAACATTCTGTCAATCCACACAAAAATAGATATATGTTGAGAATGATGCAGGACAACAAAAAAAACCCAATTCATTTGAATCTCACATGGAAAATTTGCACACTAAATTAATAATTCTTTCAACCTGCTTTGATTGACCATTTCGACCACCAATGGTAGTTCTTATCACATGCCCAGTTTCAGCACCCACTCCATCAACTACATCTGGTTCACTATCCTGCTTGGATAAAACATAAAGGATCAGAGAAACATTTTTGCAAAAATTGTAAAATACCGTCTAAACTTTCAACAATCAACTACTCAATTTTCAATCAACATAAGCACTGTTGTAAAACCACTTCAGAAAAAATTTTGACAAGTCCAACACCCCACCCACCCCCAACCCCCGGCCCCCAAAAAAAAAAAATTACAGAATGAGCTGCTTACTCTGTCTTCATCATGGTCCACCTTGTCCCTCAATCTCATATCAAGCATTTCTCTCCCCAGCCAATCAACTGAACTGGATGAACTTTTGAAACCATTGACAGACCTGGAACTACCTACTCCTCCATTTCCTAGGCTTGCTGATGCCATAACTCAGCCAGGTAAATGTTCAAGATTCTAGTATTTGCTATCCACCAAATACTCTGTAGTGCAGCTGCCCATCCCATCCAAGCACCTATCTTCCTAATAGATTCACAAAATTACCAAGTCAGAAACATAAAAAGAGATGAATATAGAATGATTAATATCACAGATTCCCATGCAAAAATAATTTGACTTACTGACAAAGACAAAAGATGTAAACAAAGAAAAAAATGCACCAAGGATATAGTTGCTTAGACAACAACAACACAAGAATAAACTCTTGAAATAAAATAGCAGAAACCCTTTATTACTAATTAAACGACATCCTCTAGTAACAATTGTCTTGAGCCAATCAGAAAGTTGTCAGATACTCTAGCATCTTACGATGGTGCAAAAAAGAAGAAGCAAAATGCAACCCACGCACACTAAGTGCTACCCTAACAATACACTTACAGGTCATGGAGACAGCATGTGTATGATAGTCAAGCGACTCAAAAAATTTCGAGCATTTGAGTGAACAATTACAAGACCAGACAGACAAAATGGAATATGGAAATCACAAGGGAATTAAAAATTTAACATTTACTTCCCCATGTAGCATGTACAAATATAATTTTCGAAATGTGGATGTGAAAAAATGCAATGAAATGAATCTTGAAAGAGATTTTCAGTTAATAGAGACAACTAGGCTTAACATCAAACTAGTAAGATCAGGTACATAAATTGGCTTCCTTGGTACAGTGAAGTCTAATGTCAAATTATCTGAAAACATGGCTTAGATTAAATGCTTGTTCAATCTTCAGCTAATCATTTACCTTAATAAATGAGCTTTCTTTCCATTAAATTACTAATCTTCGTATTTCTTACTTTGTTTCAAATAAAAATTGCGAATTTTTTGCTAACATTATCAGTGTGATCTATAAATAGTAAAATTCAAACCAAAAGAAAATAAAGAAAAGTTTACAGTGATTCAAGCCATGAAATTCTCTGTTATTCTTACCCGGAGCTCTTCCCCAGATCTAAACCCTAATCTGACCAAAATCAAAACACCACAAAGTTTTCCACTTTAAATGATAAATTTTAAGAGAAAAAAATCCTAAAAATAAAACATTTTTCTCCTCAAAAATTAAAAAAAAAGCAAAATTATCTCTTAAAAAAAAAGAAAAACAGATCGAGGAAACGATCTTTGAGTTTCGGATACTTACTCGGAACTGTTCGGAACGAAACTGAAAACAGATCAAGCGCATTTTTTTCCCTTTCAATCTTCGGCTTTTGATTAAGAAATCCAAAGCAAAAACAAGAAAAAAAGAATTAAACGCAGGAAACTGCGAACTGTTTCTGATCTGATCAAGCTTTCTACTATCTCGATTTTTTATTTTTTTTCTTTTTTGTACTTAATTTAATTTATTTTTCTATATATTTTGAGTGGAGAGGGGGGGAGAGAGAGAGAAAGAGAGAGAGCAAGCTTGAGAGACAGAGAGGGTGTGTGTTAGAGTGTATGAATGTTTTTTTGAATAAGAACTGACAATTACCTGACAATCTTCACTCAACTTATTACCAATTATTATAATTATTAATTTATTTTTTAATTCTAAGCTTTACTATTATACAGTGACAGTAAATATAAATAACTATTTTTAATAATTAAGTGAGATGCATTAGTTTTATAAATAATATTTTTCTGTCCTTATATGTTTATTTTTAAGTAAATTATCGCCACTCTTTTGGACTTCACCTTAATTAAAATAAAAATAAGTTTCAAATATAAAAATATTAGATAGCTAAAAATTAAAATAAATTTAAAATTTATTTATTTATTAATAATCAATCAATTCGATTATAAATTTTAAATATTAGAAATGGATCAAAAATTAATGCTCTTAATTAATTTTAAATGTGAAACCGAATTAATGGATTTACTCAATTGAATTATTGCTCAAAGTCTCTGGTAGTAATTAAATAATTATAATTATTTGCTTTGGTAAAGGATTTGACAGAAGAGGAGGAGCATTTGTCGTTGTTCAAAAGTTGAACTACTTTTGACTTTTTGCATTATCTATGCAATGGAATTACACTAATAAATTTCATTAATTTTAATTTATTCTATTAACTGTTTGGATTAATACACTTAGGGGAGACCAACACAACCCTATGACTAATTTTTATTAAGTTAAAAAATATAATTATAGATTGCGATATTTCATTATTCGTTCTCGATTGTGGTCCAAGCATTTGTGCGTTCATGTATCTTCGAATTTTTTTTTTGTTTTTTTAGTCAAAATTCATAATTCTTTGAAAACTAAATATATAATATGTGGGGAATATTGTGTTAATTTTTCAAAAAAAATAATTTTTTTTGTTTTTCTTCTACTAATAAAATGCATTTTGCTTGGGGAATAACTTTATTAATATTTAAAAAAATATATACTCTCCATCCCATTTTTGTTTCAGATATCTCAAAATAAAAATTTATTTTTTTACCCTTAATACATATATATTATAAAAATAATTAAATTTAAATATAAAACATATTAAAACTAAAAGTTTTATCTTAATTTTGGAGAAAAATAAACATTCAGAGACAAAAAAATTAATTATTTTATTTAATTATTTATCCCCTTCAGAAATTAATTTTGGAGAATTGTCGTCAAGCAAAATGTCAGAGGCTTTTAATTAAATCATGGTCATATGCTTTGATCAATTATTGACTTTCATGAGTAAGGATACAATGTCTTCTATTCCTTTAGCTTCTCATCAAATATTTATTTTCATTTAATTTATTGCAAATCTTAGCCACATCCATAATTGATTGCTTGAATTTGGACTTTATTTTTTATGGGTTTTGCTTAAAATGAAAATATTTATCAAAATATATATTGTATTACTATAAAAAAATCATTTTGACAAAATTATTCTTTGATATTTAATCGAAAAAGGGTATTTCTTACGACCAAATCAAATTCTTAAGTCATTGTCATGTAGCCTATTTTGAAAAGGAAATTTACTATAAATAAATAAGCAAATAAATAATGTGTGAGAGGCAAAAAGGGTTCCAAATGGATATAGCAAAAGATAAGATCAAACAAAAGTTCAGAATAGTCCAATATTGCTCCTTTTTATATCATGTCCCATACAGTTTTATTCTTTTATGCCGAGTCCCTATCTATTTTTTTTTCCAAAATTTTTTACTTAATACAAAAATAAAATATCAACAAAATAAAAAAATTATAAATCGAGCGAGCTCAATAAATTGATTTTCATTTTTTATTTTTTGAGTAAAATTAAAAGAAAAGGGTTTCGAATTTATCTCATTTATATAAAAAAATTATGTATTAATCTACTAATTAAATATTCGAATATATTTTCAAACAACAATGGATCCATTTGATTAAACTATAACCATGCATGTTCACTTGATGACATGTGGCAGTAAAATCATGCATGGCAAGATGATGGGGGTCCCATGTAACACATCATCTTGGGGGGTGAACATACTCATGATTAAATCATCTGATCTTACACCATCGCTTTTGTTGACTTATTGGTCACTCTCGATATTATAATTATATTCATAATATCATTATCAAAAATAAAAAGGAAAATTTCTTTCTTTTGTTGCTAAAAATAAGACAATTGGCGACGGTTGAGAAATTCCACGTAAATCTTTAAAAAATATGGCATGAAAATCTTCATCCTCAAAAAAAAATAATTTATATGATGATTATTGATTTGATTGATCATGGAAAGTCAATTTTTTTTTTTTTTGTGATTGTCGATTTGCATGCGTAGTGCTTCCACCGCCTCATGCAACTCTTGGAATTATTGCCTATGCAATTTAATTAATTATTTCTTTCTTTCGAGATATGCAAATATAATAAAAAATATCGACGGTAAATTATACTCGTTTTTTAATTTTTAAACTTTTAATTTATATATTCATTAATTTGACAAATACCCATTTTTTTAAAGAATAAAAATTTTGAGGATGATGGGTGTAATTTTCTTTGAAATGTGAATTTTATGAAAAATAATTAATAAAATAAAAATCTAGATTAGATTAGATTAGAACCATATGCTGTGGAACCCATAGCATGTTAGCCTTGTCAATCTTTTTCTTTCGCATGCTTCCAAGTGTGAAAAAAAAAAAAGGTTGGGAAAGAGTATTAGGAAAGAAGCAGAGCAAGGTGTGTTGTGTGATGAATAAAGGAACAAGTGAGGTGGTCCTCCACTATTCATAGTCCCTATTAGGCATAGTGCCCAAGAAAGTGAAAGTGGTCCAATGACATATATGAAAAAGGGTTTGAAAAATTGGAGACTTTGTCTCTATAATTCTCTTTTTCTTTTTGCTGTTTTTTGATAAAATTATTCTTTGATTTGTTTGAAATCTCCATGATTCATTCTTCACAAGCAAGTTTACTCCTTGGACTAGTATGGAAAATTGAAAGGTTTTGATTTTTTTTCCCTTTTGTTGTTACTCTGAAAATAAGATATTTTAAATTTTAAACATTAATCTCTCGATAAAAAGATAATTGTAGTTTCAAAATTGTTCTATCTGCTACATTAAATGTAGCATAAAAAATTAATTAAAATTTTTACTCAAAATTATAATATCGTAAAAGAAAAAATATAATACTTAAAAAAGTTCATAAATTATTTACAAAAGTTAAAATAAATTTTTATTTTTTTCACGTTTAATTAAATTTTTATTTTTTTAAGTCAAATCAATCTCTACCACTAATGATTAATTAATTATCATTAATTAATATATAATTATTATTTTATATGCATATGACGCTTGATATTAAGGGTAAAAATGTTATATACTTATATTATAATACTATATTTTTATTTATTATGATACTTTAACATATCATGTAAATGTTGTATGATATAAAATGATAAATGATATTTTGATTAATAATAATTAATTAACTATTAATTATAAAAATCTATGTGATTAAAAATAAAATTATAAAAATTTGATTAAATGTAATAAAAAATTAGTAAAGTTTTTTTAAATAATTCAGACTTTTTATAAATATTATATCCATAAAATATTACTATAAAGTGGGCTCCTTGCCTGATTGCATTTACTATATGAAATGGAACTTTCTAAATTCATGACCAAGTTTATGTATAAGTACAGTAAAACATTAAAAATTCCCAACATCTGCAGCTGTCCATCATTGAACGACCAAGAATGATAAACAAACTGAAAATGAGAAAGTAATGTTAAGACTTTAAGATCTGAGAGTGTATTTTTTTTAAAAAAAACATGTCTCCACTTTTCATGAAGTTTAAGGCAAAAGGCATGGATACATAAATCTTCTTTGTGTTACACAATATCCCACGATAAAGTACAGTAATGATGTCAAGCACGCATTTCAACTCGAGCACTATCATGTTCTTATTGGAACCCAAGTGCAAAACAGTTGTTCATCAGAATGAGTGGAAGAGGTCTCTAAATTTGGTTGTAATAACACAGCACTCAGACAGGTTATCCGAGATCCAAACATCATGAAACATAAGATTTTGGTTGTAAATTAAAGAAACGAAAACTGGGTTCCTTTCCAATTTACATGTTGCTTATATATATTAATGATTAGGCTGAAAGGATATGGTTTCCAAAGGGTATAATCAGAACTCACCAATGGGGCTCAAATTCCTATGGCATCAAGAAGCTGGGAGTGTTGGGAAACTGAAACTAACGAATTGGCAACAATGGCACCGCTGGCAGCAACTGCAGGGACTCCAATGCCTGGAAAGGTAGAATCTCCACAGCAGTAAAGCTGTGGGATGGGGGTCGAATGTCCTGGAAAAGTGTCTTGTCCGGCTTGTATAGCTGGTCCATAAGTTCCTCTGTTCCTTCTTAAAAACCTTTGATGTGTCAATGGAGTTCCAACCATTTTCACCTCACACTTCTCCCGGCTGAAACCTGAGCCAAGTGCTCGTTCAACAGCTCTCCACATTACCTGGTTTATGAAAGCATTAACTTGAGAAAATGTTTCATTTTACACCAAGGAGGTTGATCCTGTCAATCTTGATTCTGGTGTAACAGTTTAAGTACTGTGAATGAGCAGAAAAAGCTAGCAAGCAAGTTTGGATTACCTCCGATCGTTCAGCTTTAAGCTTTTTGTATTCTGGACTACTGCGAATGAGGCCATCCCACAATTCAAATGGTTCAGTTCCTGGTGTGTAGGCATGTAAACTGTGCTTCCCTGGCGGTGCCAGATTGGGACTAAGCACACTAGGTACAGATATTAAGACAACATTCTGTTCAGCATCAACTCCTCTGTCCCAGTCATTAACAACAATATGATGGATTCCCAAATCCTCGCGCAGATCCTGGGCATTTTTGATGCTTAAAAAGTGGTTAATGAGGTGTGTACTGGAGATAAAGCACACAAGGAGACCAAAGATTCAGAACCTAGTAACTGAGAGGAAAACTAATTAGACAACTATGTTGCCAGTTGCTAATATTTCTAACCTCTGCATCAAAGCCTAGATGGAGATGCATGAATGATTCGCATTGCTGTGTTGTCTTAATCCTATCAATGTATGACTTTGGTAGTTGATCCTTGGGCAGCAGGTTCAAAGTGTCCCACATGGATGCATTGCTAACGACAGCCTTTTTAGCATGTATAAACTGCAATATAGACATATATCTTCAGACAATAGCATTTCAGGAGGACAAAATCTGTTTCAGACAATTTTAAAGCTCAGTTTCCATCAATGGAATTATGTTCACCTGACCACCTTTCAGCTTAACTCCGGTAGCTTTACCATTCTCAACAATGATCTTCTGCACATGACTTCCTAGAGATAGCCGTCCACCAAACTTTTCCATTCCTTGAACCAGAGCGTCAACAATAGCTCCACCTCCATCAAGAGGATACTCCAGAGTACAACCAGGCTTGTACCATTCTGCAAACATATAAACCTGAAAAAAATTGGAAGTAAACTCAACAAAGTCAGATTTTACAAGAACTTTATGTATGTCAATGGTGTTTCACCCAGAATATAAGAATTAAGCATGAAAAGAAACACTTTCTTTTCAGGAAAAGTACATTTACAAGGACATCCATGAAGCATCATACAAATGGTGATTTTGAACAGTCACAATTCTTTAGAAGGCAAGCTGAAAATCATGAATATCCTTATAGTTACCATCTCTGCTGAAAGTATACCATTGGATTTCACCCCAGCAAGCAGGAAAGCCAGAAGGTCCACCCAATTCCTAATAAAAGGGTCTTTCAGCTCCAATGAGTCCATGATTTCTGAGAAGGGTCGTAGGAGCTTAGGTGCACCAAAAGCTCCCTGAGGTCCCATTTCTACAAATGATTTCAACAGGGAAGGGGCATATCTAGTGGCAGCAGTGGAAAGAACACCCAAATCTCCTCTGATCGATAAAGGAGGCAGAGCCATTGCAGCGGCGGATAATGGAAGTATTGCATCCTGCAGGCAAATTGCATTATGAATTTGAGAAATACTTATCTGATAAGAGTTGCGGTATCAATTTTTTTGTTGGAGGCAGTTCTTTTGAGAGTTCTATTTTGAGCAAAATTATTATGAACTAGGAGAGCTCCATAAGTAGAAGGGGAACAAAAACTGAAGGCTTGGCTGTCAGCTTCTAAAAGAAAAAATGAACAGAAACAACATTTCTTCTTCCTACAATTAATCTGAATTCAAACATTGACAGTAATGTGCAGAATTTTTGGTACTCACAAGAAGTTTTTTCCACTCTTGCATGGCATTCAGACTTGCATACTTTTCAAGGTCCTGAAAAGAATGAAAAGTTAATCAGAGTAATACCCTTTGAACTTAGAGCACCGAGTGTTTTTTCTTTAGGATAACCTCATAGCATAATCCTTTGGTTACCTTTGCTTCTCAAAGAATGTATCAGCAAAACAATGCCAGGAATGTTTTCAAAGAGAACTTACACCACGATCATACATAAGAAGGTAATTATGGTACCAATTGATAACATCAAATAGAGAAACATTCCACTGACAGAAGTTTCCGGCTCATTTTACCAGTGTTCAACTTCTGTTATTGGCAATTGGTGTTTTAAGACAAGATGCAGATGAGGTCTCATTGTATCAATCATTGTCCAAGGTCATTGCATAACCAGGAAAAATCTACATAACCAGATCATTTGGATGCGTTCTACTCTTAAAAAATGCACGTAGAACAGATAAACGAATATGAAAACAAAGAAATATCAAAATACATATTAAAATATGAAAAGGGCTTGAATTTTATAAATCTAACAATGGCAGTCCACCTTGTAAAATTCAGTTGGGCCAATGCGTGATAAGAATTCTCCTTCAGGAATGTATACCATCCAAGAATCATACTTTGCACATGGAACTGACTCACCCAATGCATCCAGGACCTGCAACTCAATGATATATATTCAAAATAAAGGATGAGTGTCTATATCAATCAGAGAAATCAGATGAACTGCATCCAAGGTGACATTACATTGACTTGTTCGCCACATCAGAAATTCCCTAAGCTATCCAAGCTAGCTTCTGCTTTGGCACATTCATGTTCCAAACTACCAGGCATCTTAATACATAAATAGAACTGACAAACACCGCTGCCTCAATCAAAGTCATTGTTCATCGACCATCAACGCTGAGTGAATACAACTACCAAAGTAATCCTAGAACAACGACCAAGAGTACAAGATCAATTGCTTCTTCTTTTTTCCTTATGGCTCATACGGAAACTATACCTGACTAACACTATACTATAGACAAGATAAAGTCGTGATGTAGAAAAACATGTGGAAAACAAAAATGGGGAGGGGGAGGGGGTAACAAACACCTGTGCAAGAGGATTCGCCTGAGGACCTCTTGACTGAAAACCAGAGAATAAAGATGGACCAGAATCAAATTTGTAGCCTTTAATCTCAAAAGAATGGGCAGCACCACCAGGCTGATCGTGGCTTTCTAACACGAGAACATCCTGGTTGTATCTAGCAAGAAGTCCCGCGCAACATAGCCCACCAATACCACTCCCAATCACAACAACATCAGCCTCTGGCTTCCCTGCAAATCACCAAGCAACAAATTCATTCTAGTAGTTTACCACTGGCAAAGAAGTTGAATGGGGTGGTATATAAGGCAAGTGTAAATGTGGGGAGAGAGAGAGAACCTGGAACAGTTTTAGCAGGCTTGACAGAGACGGAGCCATTGGAAGAAAACCCACGACTATCGTTGGAACTTCGCGCGAAAAGAGTTCTTCTGGACTTTGGACATTTGAAACCAGCTGGGAACGGAGGACGGCCAAATTGACGACACAATTCCATGGAAAGTAAACCAAAAAGGGTTGAAAGCAAACTAACAAAGCAGCAATCAGAAACAGTTTATGGAGAGATAATTGAAAGAACAAGGCGTTCGTTCATGGTAGCTCCTTGCTTCTGCTAAAGAAGCTAGCCACGTCATTCCCCAGTTCCTACCGCATGTATTTGGGATTAGCCGTTAAGTCCGTTATCTTCCAAAAGTCCAAAGTCCAAAGTAACAAAGCTTTTCTTGTTGGGCCGTAGGAAGCATGGAGACAGTTTCCGAACCCAGTTTCTCATCAACCAACGTCTAAAGGCAAAAGCCCTCCGGCTGTGTCTGACTCTTGACACTACAAAGATTGTAGGATGGCACCAAAATGTGCATACGAAAGAAAGCACATCACTTAAAATTTTTCATTATTATTTTCAATTACAATCATATATGTATAAAATGTGAGAAATTTTGTTAACAATATTAAGATCGAAGAATGCACATTGACATTTAGGTAGTTAGGCTAATTTCCCTTTTTTTCCTCTTGGCCAGAAAGGGTATTTCTTTTAGAAAGAAACTTTGTACAATTTTCCAACAATATTTGCCAGAAAGGTTGAGCAATCATATATTCATATCGAAGTGGCAGCAAACATTAACACTCACATTTTGGATATCACTTTATAAGACCCAAGCCAAGACAAAAACCAAAATGAATTCCCACCGACATACAATTTTACCATTCCTCCAAACCACTCCAATGCCTAGTAACAGAAATCAGTCAAGATTCAAAACAAGCTGCAGGCTGGTAAAAGTTTCCCCCAGCTTTCCTACTCTTCTGCACAAATGACCAACCCATATAGACAAATGCTAAACTAGAGTTTACACTGAAGGTGGACTGCTCAACAATACGCGTATAATAACTCAGTAAAGCAGAGAGTATGTAGAGGGCTCTGCGTTTATATTTACAGTTCCAGCTAAGGGAGGAAACCGACCAATAAAATCAGAATATGCCAGTACCAAGTCGAGTCAATGGCAAGAATCAGAGGAGATTCATAGTGCCCTGGCTGGCCAAAATCCACTATGGCCTGCAGCCATGAAAACAGTGATGCAGTGCGATTACTAAGAAAGCTTTTTATTTCTCTTTGCTTCTTGTTCCTTTCTATTCTGACCCATCTTTGACTAAGATCAAGATTTTCTTCAATCCACCAAGTATTAACATTGGGATTCCTTCAACCAACCAAGTATTAATTACAATGGTATCTGCAACCTCTAGGTCAACTGAACCTCTTCCCCTACTTTGCTGCTGAAACATTGATTACACCTGATCATGGGTTAAGCAAAACGAGACAGCCTCCAGCAAAAAGCAAGTGCATGCTCAATATTCATGTGACGAAGCAATTTGCTGCAAAATAATGTTAAATGAGAATAAATACAACACCTTGACGAAAGCCAGGGAAGAAAAAATGCTAAAATTGAACAACCCAAACAGAAAGCAGTAGAACATACAGTGACTTAGAAACTTTTTCCAACAACTCTTACACTGGAATTATCTTTCATGTGACAAAATGGAAAGTAAAATGTATCGTTCCTCATGAATACTTGAGAGATCAGTTATGTACGCAAATTTAAATCAACTATGAAGGTAACAATCCCATTCAACACACCAAAAGTTACCCCAACTAAGAGAAAGAGATTATACTTGGAAGAATCAATTCAGGCAGATTTTATACTCTTAACTGATATTTGTGAATCTGAATGTTAATATCATGATATTATCAATACGCACATCATTTCATTGCCAATACGCCCATTAGCAGCAATATGGCCATCATGAATACTGTAGACAAGTCCATACTTTTGGTTCTCTCACCTACAACTTATCTTGCCATCAACAATCGCCACCAAAACTACCATCAGGCTCACTGCTGCCACCATTGCTGATACTTTAGCTTGCTACTAACAATCTCCTAACACCACCATAAATGAGACCAGGATTGCCAATGCTGAAAACTTTCTAACATTCACACTTTCTTTCAATGCATAAATATTTATTGATAGTCTAAACAGCTACATAATTTTTAAGCTTGATATTGGCCAATCATTTCTGATCACAATAAATAAATGAATATAGGTAAACCACAAAGTTGACAATAATCAAATGCTTACCATTTTAAAAGTTCACTAAGAACCAGAACTCGATTTCTGCACCCAAACTTGTTTCTGCAAATTTAGAAAATAAACATCAAAATACTTGGTTAGTAAAAATTGTAGCAGAAGACAAATAAACAAATCTGATATCCAAGCATAGTTTTAATCACCTCATGAGAACCATAGCCAGCAGCACTGCCTCTTTTTCCAGGTTTCCCATCACTCATAACAGAAGATCCATCGGCAACTGCTCCACGACGACTGACATGTTTATTATGGGATCCTGCGTAAATTTGAAAAAAAAAAAGGGAAAAAGAAGTTAATGAAATGCTAAACTTACAAACAAATAAATGACAAACACAGAGTTTGTTCAGCTTCCAAAAGCAAAACCAACCATTATCTAAAGAACTGTTACGTCCACTTCCACCAGTTTTAACTTGCACAGACCGTACATTTGACAAATCAACTTTAACATCACCATAAGCCCCTGGACAATTGTATGCACAAAAAGAAACATCAAAAGATATTCTCCTTAAATGAAAAATTCAGTTTTGGTTGTTGCCATTCACTGAGGCATGAGCACATAATGCAAACGTATGCAAGTCTGAATTTGCATTTGTGTCTTGATAGCAACCAACTCCACTTTGTGGAGAATCTGCAGGACAATGACATTCCCATGGAATAAAGAATACCAGAGATTTAACATATCCATACCTTCTAGAGAATCTAAAGGTATCTGCGGAGACTGAGAAGCAGATGATGACATGGACTCATCACTTGCATATGATCCATCAGAACGGCGGAGGGTCCATACACCGCGATCTGGTCTATCTTTGTTTCTACTACGTCTTTCTGGCTTCTCGCTGCCATGCAAGTCATTCCCAACAACCTTGTCATCTGAAGCAGTGTTTGTATCCTTCAAAACTAAATGTGAATGTGAATGCCGTGGCGGTCGTCTGTCCTTTTCCAAATTTGAGGTCTGAATTTGCTGATCTGACTGGACCCCAGAAGACTGATTTTGACGAGCATCCTTGTTTAAAAGTATGCCTCTAATCATTCTTCCTTCACGTCGTGAGTTCTGTTTGGTAGGAGTCGAACCAAGTATGTTTTTAATTGGAGATGTAACATTCTGTTGATATAACATGGTTCCAGCCACCTGTGCAAAGAATAAGCTCGTAAGGAATGTAACATTCCACAACATTGCAATTAGAGAACAATACTGCTGACCATATGGACTGATTCCAAACCGCACCAACACTATGTCTATTAGCAACAAGATCAACTATATAATGAATGAGAGGAGCCCTGGTCCTTTCTCTGACGAGGTTACCACTCCCCCGCCCCGCCCCCCCCCCCCCCCCTCTCTCTAAAAACTCTTCCCCTTCTCCCTGAGCATGCTCAAATGTACCCTATGAATTTACTCCCAGCTGCCGTCAGTATAAAGAATGAAGAATGAGACCATAGACCAAGACTGAATGGTACAAAGAATGAAGAATGAGAACATAGACCAAGACTGAATGGTAGAGCTGAGAGAACAAGAGAACATAGAAGAACAAGAGACTCACATGAGAAATTTCTTTCTCTTTCCCTTTAAGAAGCAGAACTTTCTTCTTACCAGCATCAGTAATTCCAGGAACTCCTGGAAAAGTGAGAATGAGAAATTTAAATTGGAGACATGAAACAAGAGAATGCAACCACAAAACCAAAAATTCTTCGACTGGTAGCATTGCCAGCTAAAGGATAACAAGTAATAATAAACAATAATAGCTCATTAAATAAAGGAAGGAAAAATTAGAAATATTTATACTATGCATTTATGCATTATCACCCATACCACTTTCCTCTTCAGATATTTCAGTTCCCATGGATGAAGCTAAAGTAACATGCTTATCAGAAAGTTGCTGCTCATCCCTTTTAGAAACCAAAATGTAAGTTGACTTGTCTTTGCCACTTGCATTTTTCAAACTATCCCTCAGAACATACTGCCACCATACAAGACAAGGTATTAATAATTCACAAACTTCCAACATCTCACCAGGATATCCATCATGGATCTATACAAGGTCAAACTAGATTTATTTAATATTAAAAACGAAAAGAAAAAAAAATCAAAATCAGTAAAATACCCAATTGTAAATGGCATCATCTAAGCTACGCATACAAAAGAAATCTCATTCCCCAAAACTTTCAAAATTGTTACACAATGTACTCTAATATGTTAATGAACCACCACAAGTGTTCATAATTTTACTTCAAGGGCTAAGTATGCATGGCAATTTCACACATACAGGTTAAACTAACTCATATTTTATTGGCCATAATTACTACACCATTACCATATAAGAAGAAAAAAGGGTAGAATCATGTCAACTCAAAAGCCATTAGATGGTTTTGGCTAAATTAACCAAATATATGCATACCATTGCCGTAGAACCCCTTCTCTTTTCAGAACCTCTTTTCAATGATGCTGAACCTGGAGTTCCACCAGAAGACCCACCAGCTCTTCTGCTCAGTTTCCCATTGGACAGTGACCTCTGTCATAAATTAGCAGAATAATTAAGCTGTATATGATAAACCATTAGCATGAGTAGTTCATAGGAAAGCGTTGAAAGTAACTAAGAAACAAATTTCATGTATTAATAATATAAATAAAGCCAGGCAAAAGTTAAAAAGAAAAAAATCTTACTTCCGTTCATATATCAATACATCGAAAAAGGTGGCAGGGGAAAACTATTGAATGCTCAGGTAATATTTTATCACTCTTCAGCAATTCATTCTCATTGATAATGATGCCATTAATTGATTTTAACATGGTATATGCTCTATCAAATCACTTTTATATCCAACAAACCCAAGAAAAGCCTACTTGGCTTCTCTAAAGCTTGATAACAAAACACACCTATAAATGATAGCAAACAAAACACTGCTCATTATTTTACAGTCAAGTATGCTGATATAGGGATTACAACATATTACCCGTGATCCGCCCTTAGCTGCTCTTTTCTGTCTAACAAAATCCATTAAAGGTGTAACTATAGGAGTATCCTTCGGTACACCTGAAAAAGGCATTAATGGCATAACAAAAAAAATATCAATACATTAATACACCAATTTTTCAGTCATTTAATTGCACTAAAGATTTTTCTTTTTTTCATTTTCCAACACAATAACTTTTGTGTGACTAACCAGCTCTTTCTGCCTCTTTTCTCTCCAATTGTATCTCTGCACTAGGAAGGTTCTCAACTGGCTTTGCAAGACATCCAAGGAAGTCCAAATACTCAGGATCTAGATGTTCATCAAGAAATACTTGTATTTATGAACAGGAAAACAGTGGCATAGATAAGTCAATATAAAATATATTTTATATTTGAATCATACTTGAAGAAAATTAACTTATTACCTTTAAGTATAGTCCCTTCACGGCCATCCTTTTTAGAAGACAGCTTTGGAACACGTTGGGAAGGTGCATACTCAACAATTGTTTTAAACTGAGTGCCTAAAAACGAGAAGGAATAGTTTTAATTTGAAATCCAAGTCTAGCATCAGTTTATTGCAAGCTTCTCATTTTAATAGAAGTTAAGGCAAACAGATTAATAAAAAAAAATCAGATATCCTACATAAGCTTGTCAAAAATACTAGATCCTGGTTCTGTCAAAAATCTCTTTTTCTATCTGGCAATGAAGGTCCTCTAACATCCCCAACAACTCATAGATTTCTGAGCAGTTAGTTAAACGAGAGAATCAGATTCATTAGCCTCTTGGAGAAGAGGAAAAATTTTATCCAGTTGCAATAAATAACTAATAATAATATCGCTGATAACAAAGGTATGCTATGCTACATCAATCTCTTTAAAGGTCAAGAAATTACCCTTCTCATTGACAAACACGTGCCCATTAAAGAACTCTGCAAACTCCAACACGTCCTCGGACCTCTTGAAATCTATGTATGCTCTGGAATAGGACTGATGCTTCTGACTGCAAAATAATTTTAAAAAGCAAAACTATAATAAGATAACACCTTTTCTGAATGCTAGCCTTGGAATTCTGGTGTTGAAAAATTAAAGAAAAACTACAATGGTAACATATGCCAGAACAACGGGGTGAATTAGTCTCTCAACAGTATCTAAATGATTTATTCATATCTGATCGAAATGATCTAGAACATGACACAATCTCCTTCCTACAAGAGGAGACTGAGACGAGTCTTCAATTAAGCAAAGGAAGGCCAAATATAAAGTAAAACAACACATGCCCATTCACAAGAGACCAGCAATAAACCCCAAAATCACATAATCTCCTAATGAGAAACCAAAGTAATACATAGATGATCATATATCTTATACAAGCAACCACTGTCAGTGCTAAAAACAGTAATAATACAGTAAATGCAAAACCAACACTCCCTAGAAACCCTTCCATAAAGGAAAATACAATACAGTTGAGAGAGAGAGAGACAGACCCCATTGACAAAACCATAGAAAAAAAAAAGATAATCAAGAATATAATTCAAGAAAAAAAAGGAAAATTAAAAACCCACCTGCTCTTCCCGGGACGAAAAGAGAGCCAGTTGTACCGGCCAGCAAAAGCACTATCGACTTGTTCGACAAGCATGGCCTCCGTAATCGCCGGCGGCAAGTGGCGGAGAATCACCTTAGTTCGATCCAAAGCCCCCTTCATGCCTTCCAAAACCCTAACCCTAGAAATCTCAAACCCCAAATATCCCCCACCCCCCTCCTTCTAAAAAAAGAAACAACTTCACCGACTGTCCTTTATAAAATCTTGGCTTCGAAGAAGAAAAAAAAAAAACCGCGAGAACCACTGTGAGATCACATCTTATTTAAAACAAAGTTGGCAAATCGATCGATTAGCGAAGCCCTAATTTTTGCGAATTGAAGCCCAAATCGCCATGCAAGACTGTTACAGAGAAGAAGCAAACGTAAGAATAAATTAAGAAAAATGAAAAAGGATTTTAAGGGAAGGTAGGCTTTTATTTATGTTTATATTTTTCTTTTTTCTTTTTTATATATTTAAAGACTGTAATTAAATCTAGTACGAAAGTTTTAGCGTGTATCGCTCAATATTAGGTAGGTGCACACTGCGCACCATGGTTTTTTTTTTTGGTTTAAATTCTCATAAAGTCTTTACCTATATTTATTTATGCAATTAAATTCTTATTTTTTTAGTACATAAATTAAATTTTTATTTTTTAATTTATATTTACATAAACTTTTAATTTAAATATAAATTTAATTATTTTTAATTAATATTTTTTATTAAAAATGATATATAATATAACATAATAATTGATGTGAAATATACCACATGATAATTTATATAAAATATATTACGTAATCATATTATTTCATTACGTTATATGTCACGTGCACAAAAAATATTTATTAACACTTTTATGATTAATAATTTGATTAAATATAAATAAAACATATATTATTTTGATATAATAAATAATAAGATTTAATGCATAAATATGTATGTATTTTTTAATTTAAGCTTTTTTTTCTTTTTTATATTTAGATATTGGTTAATTTTTTTTAAAGAAGAAACATAAATATATACATTTGCTTTTTAAATAAATATATATATATATATATATATATATAGACATTAGAAAAGCTTGAAAATATCTATCAATTCAACCAACAAACATCAATCATTCATATTCTGATTCATGTGACAAATGTAAAAGGGATAGGTTGGATTAATAATTATTACAAAATAAATGTTTCCCTTTTGAAAGTTATTCACAAATAAATTTCTTTGAAATAAAAAAAATCAATACACTATATAGTATAAAAAAGATTATCTTTATTTGTCTATACCCTTATTATTAAAAAAATAGAGCATATTCTTAAGCATCCAAGAAAATTATTGAATAGTCTAGATTGAAAATTGATAGAATGGAATCTTGCACATATAATATATTAATAGTCAAAATTTAGACAAATCTCTTGCCAATTGTTTATGGCATTTCTTTCTGGGGCTAAACCAGAATGTAGGTGCGTAGACTAAACTAAAATATTAATTAAAGCTTACTTGCTAATTCATTTTTTTACGGGATTTAGTATTTCTCATTAATTATTTGTTACCATTAAAAAGCATCGAACATTTATATTATAAAAGAGTTATAATAAAAAGATATTAAAATTTTAAAAAAATTTAAAAAATAAATATTTAGAGATGAAAAATATAAGGCATATGTAACAAAGTAAAATTTTACTTATTTTGTTTTATTGGTAAAAAAAATCATATAATGAGAATGTTCACGTTTAAACATGTTACATTTGATTCAATTATATCAAATTAAATGAAATTCTAATAAACAATGTCTTAAATCCATTTTATATATCTAATTATTATTAGCATTAGATACAATTAATTTGCACTCAAAGCTTAATCATTTTCTTCTTGGAAAGACAATTGCATTAAATTTTTTACAGGTCAAACAAATTTTGAGCTCCAGATTAATTGTCAATTAAAATTTCTATATATAGATATATATATATAAGATCTTGCAAGATCCTGGGTGTTTAAAAATAAAAAATAAATAAATATTTTTTTGTCAAGTTGAATATTATAATAAGGTGCATGGAAAGAGTGAAAATAAAAAAGGAGGTGGTAAAAAATTGAGAGGGTATAAATAGAGCAAAACAAGGCATCAAAGAGTCCTCTTGGAGTAGGGCTTTGGTCTCTCATTGACACTCTTCTCCACATAAAGAGGTTAGCAGACTTTGCATCTCTGCCCCCCTTTTCTCCTTGCTTAGCTCCTTCATCTGCCACTCTTCTCTCTCCTTTCTCCTTCATCAAAGTAAGTTCTTGTTTTTCCTTTCTCTTTATACAATATATATATATCTATATATATGTGGGTGTACGTTAGATTGTTGACTCTGAAGAATTTTTCTTATGTTGAATGAATGAAGCAGGCTTAAGGGGAGGTGAGTATATGATGGGAGAGAGAATCCCACCAGGGAGTTACTTTCAGTACCCGCCTTCTGGCGTTCCTGCTTCTCCTCACAGACCTTCTTCTCTTCCTACAGATCGTGAAAGGTCAATTTTTTTTTTTTGAGGTTACCTCAATCAATCCAATCCCATGTTTTTTGTTTTTCTCTTGGTTAAGTTTTGCTCTAATTATTGATGGGTTTTTGCCTGATTGGTCTAATAATTTGAGCTTTCTTTGTTCTGATTGATGTGGGATTTGGAAGTTGGTTTCAAGGAAAAGCTTTAGCTTGTTTCTGTAATTTGATGGTTTAAGGAAAAGCTTATGTTTGTTAATTGATCGTTATGTTTTTGCTTAAGTAGATGCACATATTTGTATGTGCGTGCTTTATATATTCTGTATTGTCTAGCTCCAGTCTTACTGTATTATCGTTTTCTTCAATGATATCTTACAATTAAGTAACAATGGCAGGTATTTAGCTGAATTATTGGCAGAGAAACAGAAGTTGGTACCTTTTACTCAAGTTCTGCCTCTATGCACCAGGCTTCTTAATCAAGGTTACTGAATCTTCTGTTTCCTTTTTTCGCCCTATAAGATTCATTAACAGTGGTGGTTTGTATCATTAGACATTGGTGTGTTTGTTTTTTGGTTGAATGGACAGCATTTCTAGGAATAAAACAATGTGTATCGGTACATATTACATACACACTTCTCAAGGATGTCAAATCTTGTCACTAAAGTTACCATTTACACTCTTGTTCTAATTAAATATAAGCTTCAATCTGCTAGACTGTTCCATAGATTCATAATCACAGGTGGCAAACATAAACCACGAATGATGACCTTTCCTGCCGTAGGTCATTTATATATCGGACAACATATCAAGTCACTTTTTTCTTTTTCTCATGTCACTGCAGAGATCAGAAGGGTATCGGGTCTTAATCCTAGTTTTATGGATCATGAGAGATTTGAGCATGATAGTCCTTTTAGGTCACTTGGCCAACATCCCAATGGGAGACAGATGGATTTGGAGGGATGGTCTGTAATGCAAACAGAGGTGGTGCTGTTTAATGTTTATATACACACCATGTTGTTTTTTAAATAATTTTTTATTTAAAAGCTTTTAATTGCTTACCAAGTTAAGAAATTCCATTTTCCTTGTTATGGGTCCCCAATATGAATTACTGTTAATATTAATAATTTGCTTCTCAGTAATGTAATATGAGAGGAAATTGAATTCTCATTAATGAAATTATCTTGCGTCAGGAAAATGGGCATCTGCAACGAGTTGCTCCAATTCAAGCGGCATCAATGGGTTGGCCTGGTTTGCCTGGAGTCCCTACAACACCAATTGTAAAGCGAGTTGTTAGACTTGATGTACCTGTGGATAAATATCCAAGTGTAAGTTATGTTGAATTTTGAGTAAGTTTTGGTTTACTTCCTTCTAAAATAATAGTACTGACTCAGAGGCTTTGCAGTATAATTTTGTTGGCCGAATATTAGGACCACGAGGAAACTCCTTGAAGAGAGTTGAAGCCATGACTGAGTGTAGGGTGTACATAAGAGGCAAGGGATCTGTCAAGGATTCTGTAAAGGTAAAGTCAATCATGAATTCTGTTATTTTCAACATGTAATTTTGGTAATGCAATGCAGCTTGGGAAGCACTAAAGGTTTGAGTCTTAGGCTGCTTCTTGCTCAGTCATTTATACAGGTTCTGATTATAATTGAGTGTGTTCTGTTTTCTCTTGCTAATTGGAGTGTGGCTGATAGTTGGGCTAGTCTTCGGAGTGTAATATCCTAATTTACATATCTTTCATTTCAATACATATTCTAAAGTAAGGCCATTTTAAATTGTAGGTGATGTGAAAATTGCTCGTCTAGTTTCATATATGATGGTGATGGTGCGTCTCCGATTGCATTTGACATTTTATGGCAAATTTCAGTATTTTGTTATTTGATCTTTTCAATTTTAGCACTAGGAACTATTATGATCTATACAATGATCGCTTCTACTAAATAAAGTAACTTGTTGTTAATACACTCATGTATAAGCAAGTTCTGACGTAATTAAAGCCAGGTCATTGCTAGCTCAGTGAAATGCTTATTGGACTGAAGTTTTAGAGTATAGAAAGGATTTCCAACCTTGAACTGAAGTTATTATCTTGATATTTACTTCTGGGATCAAGTTCTCCTTTGAAGTTGTCATTTCCTTTGATGTTTGCTTCTCTTACTATTCCTTTATACTTCCTTTGAAGTCTCACAATTGGCTGCTGACTTTTTCTATAGGAAGAGAAACTAAAAGATAAACCTGGATATGAGCACCTTAACGAGCCACTGCATGTGTTGGTGGAGGCTGAATTTCCTGAGGATATGATAAATTCTCGTTTGGACTATGCTGTTGCAATACTAGAGAACCTTCTGAAGCCTGTGGTATGAAGAAAACCAGTTTGTGGTTTTTTATGTTACTCTTCCTTTTCTGTATGTTCTAACTCCTCCCTTTCTACCATCTTCAGGACGAATCCTTGGATAACTATAAAAAACAGCAGCTTAGGGAGTTGGCTTTGCTAAATGGTACATTGAGAGAAGAGAGCCCAAGAATGAGCCCGAGTATGAGCCCGAGTATGTCGCCCTTTAACAGTACAGGAATGAAACGAGCCAAGACAGGAATATGATCTTATACATTGGTGATGAATCTTTGTTTGTTGACGGTTCACTGCATCCGGTTAAATGAAAATCCTGATGGTTTTGTGATGGATTAATTTCACCATAACTTAGGGAGGTTTGAGTCAGGAAGAGCTAGTCAAACTCCTGGCAGTTTTTGGCCATGATGGTTTTGCATCTCGGTTATCATCTTCTTCATTGGTTCCTGTTCTTTCATGTATCATTCCCCATAAGGTTGACTTCCCTGCTTCATTAGTTAAAAAATAACCTATTCCCTAATTACTTTAGCCACGTTCTTTCTGCTTCTGGGTGTCGTAACCTCTAATGTACTCGAAGATTCTTTGCACTG